AGACCTCTGTTGTGCCTTCTTGAATCTTATCTTTTCCAGGATAAACTTTGCTATTACTGTAGGTAAAATAGTTTCTCAACACTTTAACACGAGGGTTATTGTGAAGATCAGTGAGATTATGTATGTAAAGCACTTTGCAAACCTTAAACTGCAATGTAAGTATTAGCTATTATCTTTATTTTTACCATTCTGATTACCTTCTCTGGACATGGTCCAATTTTTCAATATCCTTATTAAACTGTGGTATTCAGAAGCAGATGGTCTCCCAGTTGTGGTTTGACCAGTGAAGAATGCAGTGAAATATTATTTCACTTGATCTGGACACCCTACTTTTACTAATGCAACTTAAGATTGACATAGATATCCAAAAATTAATGCATAGTATTGATTCTCGTAGAGCTTTCAGTCAACTGAAATCTCTAGGCAAATCTCTTTCATGTGAATTGCTTTAAAGACAAAAGTCAAGTTTTGCCCAACCTATTCTTGTATAATTGATTTTTGCAACTTAAACTGAAGATTTTATTTTTATCCCTAGTAAGCTTCATCTTGTTAGCTTTCCCTCATTCCAGCCTGTCAAAATAATTTTGAATTTGATTTTTTCAGCTAAGAAAATAGATTTTTTTTAGCTTTTTGCCAACCACAAAATTAATAAATGCCTATCCTCAAATTGAAAACGTTAGCTAAAATGTAGTGTTTAGTATTAATGTAAAGTAGCTTGCATATCAGCACTGAACTTGAAAAGGTGATATCTGTATGATTAATAGCATGCTTACTCAGGTAAACATATGCTGATTGGAGGAAATGGTGATTCCTGGAGACAGACTTAAGTAGAGATGTGTGGACACACAGTTTGATTTTTCTTTGTCATTTCTGTTTCTGACCCAGGAAAGGAAAGATTATAGATAAAGGGATATTTTCAGAAAGCTAACAGGCACAATATATTGGCAATTTAACCTTAATGTCAGAAGACAAAATTACCTAGTAGCAAGAGGAGATTACTGACTTTAGAAGATAAAATGTCCAGAATCAGACTCTAGATGCCAAAATAAGACTAGAGGTAGTGAAACTAATGCAATGACTAAAATTAGTGTAGATTAGAGACAAAAGAGGAACTGAGTTTTTATATTTGTTTGCTTCTTGTTTCAAAGAAATTTCGGAGTATCACTATGAAATTTATTTTTTGCATTATGGTGTTCAGGCTTTTTGACTTGTATTCATCAGTCAGTCAATAAGCATTAACTGAACATGTAGTATGTGCCAGGCACTGTGCTAAGCTCTGGGGACACAAAGTTCTCAGGGACCTCACAGTTTGATGGGGGAGATATATGCAAACAACTCTATACAAACAAAATATACAGAATAAAGTGGAGATGATCTACACAGGAAAGGCACTAGAATTAAGGGTTTGGGAAAAGCTTCCTGAAGCAAGGAGATTTTAGCTGGGGCTAAAGTCAGGAGGCAGAGATGAGAAGAGAGAACATTCTAGACATAGGAAACAGCCAATGAAAATGCTAAGATTTGTGATATAGAATCTCTTGTTCAATGAGCAGAGAGGAGGCCAGATTAGATCAAAGAGTATATTGGTGGTTGTGGGGATATTAGGTGTTAGAACATAGGAAAAGTGTGTGTGTGGGGACAGGTTATGAAGGGCTTGGGATACCAGATAGAGAATTTTATATTTGATTTTGGAGGTGATAGGGAGCCACTGGAATTTACTGAAGAGGGGGATTACGTGGTCAGACTTGTGATTTTGAAAGATCACTTTGACAGCCTGGAGCAGGGAGAGATTTGTGGCAGTGAGACCAACTAGAAGGCTACTGCAATAGTGCAGTCATGAGGTGATGAGAGCCTGTACGAGAGCGGTGTTTGTGTCAGAGAAGAGAGGGAAGCATATGCAATAGATGCTGTGAAAGCAAAATGGACAGGACTTGGTAACAGGTTGGATATGGGGGCACGGGTGAGAGTGAGAATGAGGAATAGAGAATAACCCCTAGATTTTGAGCCTGGCTTTTCTTTTGGTAGACCTACAATATTTTTAACTTGCCTCTATCCTGTCTTTGAGATCAATATTTTGCTTGTATGAAGGCCATATTTTCTTTTTAACATTATTCCTTTTTGTTTTTCTTCTTCCAGATTGTTCTTCACTTCTTTGTATTTACATTTTCAATCAGTTATTCTTTTTTCCTTTGGTGACCCTTGCTACTATGGATTCAGTTTTTCTGTTCTGCCAATTACTTTTGCTGTACAAGTCATAAATTCTACTTTCCTAATTCTTATTTGTCTTTTAAACCATTCAGGAATATCTTGCTGTGGTTCCATGTTCTTTTGGAAATACACAGGGTCTTAAGCCAGCCTCATCATTTGCTGATTAGTTTGCCTTTGCCATATAGTATTTATTCATAGATGCCAGGACTCTTTTTGATCTGGAGACCATATTTCTTTCTGTTATTAATATCTTCCCTGTTGGTTTATCTACTTATGCTCAAGGTCATCAACGAGTTTTCTTCCTTCTGAAGGTCTCTGGTAATTTCAGTCTTTTCTCCTTATGTTCTCCTATTGCTCATTTTCTGATTCTTTCCCTTTGATGATAGTTTCCTTGAAGGCTAGATCTCAAAACCTTCTAAGTTTCCTCCTACACTGCACAGTTCATATTTCGCCAACCTCAGCCTCTACCTCAAGACAGTTCTGCAGGAAAAAGAACTGGTCCCATCTGGGTGTTGGGCCTTTTGGAAAAGCCTGGCGGGATCCATAACATTTTGGCATCATGTTCCAGTTTTTTCTCTTCTGCAGTTCTCTAGCTGACTACTATTGCAGCAGAGAGCACTGCAGTCTTAGCCAGAGCAGTGTTCTTCCTTTCAGTTTCCTAAGTCATGAAGAGGTGGACAGGGTAGAGTTGAATTCTCTTACGGTCCTGCCAGAGTATGGTGGGTAGTGGGAGAAGCTGTGCTATGTGTATTAGGGGCTAGAAATTAGCTTCCTTTGTTGTCAATTCATTGGGTTTTACCTTGTTAGGGTTCATGGTGTCTTTGGAAACAGCTGTAATTGCTTCATCTCTTGCACATGATTCTTATTTTGGAGAAGTTTGAGAGGTCGTGAGGATTAGAGAAAAAGTCTAGTCCTCCGTCTTATTGCTCATGTGACCCAGAAGTCTATAAATACTAAGTGCTAAATTACTCTTTTAGCAATCTTGTTATCTCTCACAGCTTCAACTAGCATCTCTATGCAGATAACTCCTAAATCTATAGCTGTAAACTCTTGATTAGCATTTTCAGCTGTCTACTTTATATCTAAATATATATGCCCTGCTGGCATCTCAAATACACCATGTCTAAAACAGAACTTTTCCCTCCAAACATGTTCTTTTCTTTTCAATTCCCTATTTCTGTCAGTTGCCCTATTACTCACAGTCACTTCGTGTTGATAAGCTTGGTATTATCTTTTACTCATCCCTTTCTGTTGCTTCCCACTCCCAATCAGTTGCTAAGTCTGGTTGATTCTGTCTCTTCAATATCTCTTGCATTTTCTTCTTCCCTTCACTTCCCACCACTGCAAGCTTTGTGGATACCTCATTACCACTGACATGGGCTATGGCACTACTTTCCTAATTGATCTTTACCTTCAGTCTTTACTCCCTCCAATTCATATTTCATATTTGCTGGCAGATAAATACTTATGAAAAATTGATCCAATCGTATCACTTCTCCAGTAAAAACTTTTCAATGGCTATAATGCCTTCTGAATAAAATCCAAACTCCTCAGCCTTCCTCAAATGGCCTTCCACAGTTTGGCACCACACTAACTTTTTAGTCTTAACTCATATTACTACACTCCATGCACTCCTTGCACTCTGTTCTTTTGCCTTTGCTCATACTTTCCCGTATATGGAATGCTCTCAGTCTACTGAGGTCCTTCAAGATTCAACTCATGTGGCAAATTTTCTATCAAGCCTTTTCTGATCCTCTAATCAGAAATGATCTTTCCTTCTTCAGATGAATATAACACTTTAGACTTCTCTAGTCTCTGAACAAATTGTGATATATGAATGTAGTGGAATACTATTGTGCTATAAGAAATGATAAGCAGATGGATTTTAGAAAAACTGGAAAGACTTACATGAACTGATGCTGAGTGAAGTAAGCAGAAGCAGAACCAGGAGAACGTTGTATACAGTAACAGGCACTATTGTGTTATGATTAGCTATGATTAACTTAGCCGTTCTTAGTAATACAGTGCTCTAAGATAATTCCAAAAGACTCAAGATGGAAAATGCTTTCTACATCTAGAGAAAAAACTACGGAGTCTGAATGCAGATCGAAGCATACTATTCTCTCTCTCTCTCTCTCTCTCTCTCTCTCTCTCTCTCTCTCTCTCTCTCTCGGTTTTTCTCTTTTGTTCTGCTTCTTTCGCTATACAAACATTAGTTATTATTATTATTAGTATTATTTATTATTGTCTTTTTTTGCTTGTACTCATTTGTGCATGTGTTGTATTCCTCTCCTGGATTGTTGTAAGCTTCATGTGAGCTGGGACCTTGTCCTGTTGAGTATTATATCTCTCCTTGCATAAGTTTTTTCATCAGCAGAGGAGGGGGTGGTCCAGGCTTTTAATTACATTGGTTTAAGTATCTCTGGTGAGGAAACTACTTCAGCCAATGAGAGTTCATGACTGCTGTGCAGCTTATAGTCTTAGAAAGTTGCCTGGATCAAAGAAAGGCAAGTGATGTACACAGTCAGGATGTGTCAGAAGTGGAACTTGAACCAGGTCTCCCTCACTTTGAGACCATGATACCTACTCATTACATATTTGGTGCTTAATTAATATTTGTTGAGCATTAGTAGAAGAGCTGCTACAAACATGAATTATTTATTAATCTAGTGTGCCAAATGAGAATGTTTAGTTCAGGTAAAGAAATTTAATTTCACTTAGTATTAGATATTTAGTATATTTCTGAATCCTTGTTGCAAAAGACATTAAAATGTTTTCCTTGTGTTTCTATATAGGGGGCCTTATCAATGTCAATATGAGTGAAATCAGTTTAGATGAAATTCAACAAGTATTCTCTAAGGATTTAGCTATTGGTCCAGGTGGTCATTGGAGGCCCAAAGACTGCAAACCCCGATGGAAGGTGAGAGACACTTTTTTGTATCATTATTATTATGTTTTGAGTGTGAAAGTATGTTAGAGCATGGGATTGATCATATTGGTAGTTGTGATGTGACAACATCATAATTGTAAATTTTATGTATGTGTTTTTTAAAGTTCCTAGTAAAAAGATTTAGTATGAACAAGTGATGATCATATCATGGTCTGATATAGTGAAAGAAATTTGGATTTAGAGTTAGAAAACCTGTTTTTGGATCTTGACTCTGTCGCTTAGAAGCAGATAGCTGGTTGTCAGAGGACAGAGCACTGCACCTGAAGTCAGAAAGATGTGAATTTAAATTTGGCCACAGATACTAGGTATGTGATCCTGGGACAAGTGCCTTATCTATCTGCCTGAGTTTGCTGTAAAATTGAGATAATAAGAACATCTGCTTCCTAGGCATATTATGAGGATAAAATGAGGTAATATTTGTCAAGTGCTTTGCAAAACACTTAAAGCATTATATAAATGACAGTTATCATCATCATCATTATCACTTATTAGCTTTATGACCTTGGATACATAAAGTCTTGGATTCAAGTCCAGCTTCTGACATATCCTGGCTATGGGACCCTGGGCAAATATTTTAAACTGCTCAGTGCCCCAGGAAACTCTCTAAGACTAAAACTTGCAGGAAAAAAATGATAACCTCTCTTGGTGGAGAGAGTTCTCCTCACCCGGGAGGTCTTCTACCAATAAAATTGCAGGTTGTCTCCCTCTCCCTAGACATAGATCTATGAATGAAAGAAGAAGAGCTGAGTAAGCACTATGTTCAAAGCACTGCTAAGTGCTGGTGATTGAAATGGAAAAGCCAGACAGTGCCTGCCTTCAAGGGAATCACATTTTTATAGAGGGAGATCAGAAGTAGAAGAGTTCAGTGGTAATTGGGTTGAAAAGGCTTAGTGGTTTTTAGGGTATGACAGCAAAGCATATATGGTAATGAATTTTTAAAAATGTCATTTTCATTTATAAAATCATCTCTATTTCTGATGGTAGACCATTTGAATCCAAAGTGATAGGAACCTTGGTTCTGCTCTGCATTTTCAGTAACTATAGCTGCTCACAGCATCTCCACAAGACTTTCTCCCCACATATTCAAAATATTCAAATTATCAAATAGTTCTATAATTTCGTTGCTTTGGATGTTGTCTGCAGTGATGCAGTTCACAACCCTTTCGTGCCTGACCATTCTATGTGAATCTTGTTGGTTTCACCCCCTAAATCTGTTATTGGATCCATGTTTATATCATTGGAGGCCTCACTGCCTCCTGATACGTAGATGAACATTTGTGGAGCACTTGTGTTTTCTACCTGTGATCCTTTTTTTGCCACATGACCAAAACATATTTACCCCCCTCATATATTTCTTTGGTGACATCTTTAACTTCAATTGTTCAAAGTTAATTATATGTTATACATCGAAGCCCATGTATTCCCACCATGTACTTCTCTGTTGTCCTCTGTGTCATATTCATTTTCAGTTCTTTGGCTACTGTCATGATCTGTAGCCATACAAGACCATCGGTAGAGTATTGTTATTAAAAAGATGAACATTTGTTTCCGGGAGAAGTTTGGAGATATTAAAGGAGTTTTATAGTTTCCTCAAGTTTCCCATTCTCCTCCTCCTGATTAATTCTGGCTGCACATCAGGCCCTTCTTTATCCTCCACTGTCTCCCAAAGTGTATCCAAACTTACGTTCATTGTTTCTAGGACACTATTTACCCATCTCATCCTCTACTTTCCTCTTCTCTTTTTGCCTTTAATCTTTTCCAACATCAATATCTCTTCCATTGAGTCCTGTCTTCTCATTATCTGGACAAGGTATTTAAGCTTCAGCTTCAATATTTGTTCTTCCAATGAATAGTCTGAACTAAGTTTTTAAGTATTAACTGATTTTGATCTCTTTGCTGTCCAAGGGACTCTCAAAAGTATTCTCCAGCACCACAATTTGAAAGCATTGATTCTATGGTGCTCAGCTTCCCTCATAGTCCAACTCTCATAGCCATACATTACTACTGGAAAAACCATAGCTTTGACTACTTAGACCTTTGTCAACAAGGTGATGTCTCTGCTTTTTATTATGCTATCCAGATTTGCCATGGCTTTCCTTCCAAGGAACAAGCTTCTTTTAATTTCATGGTTAAGATCATCACCTGCAGTGATCTTTGAGCCCAAGAATATAAAATCTGACAATCCTTCCATTTCTTTTCCTTCTATTTGCCAGAAAGTGATGGGGCCAGCTGCCAAGATCTTAGTTTTTTTGATGTTAAGCTTTGAGCCAGCTTTTATACTCTTCTCTTTCACTCTCATCAAGGAGCTTCTTAATTCCTCTTCACTTTCTACTTTATCAGACTTACACTTTAGGAAAATTATTGTGGTAGCTTTGTGGAGGATGGATTGGAGAGGGGAGAGATCTGAAGCAGAGAGAACAATTAGACTATTGCAGTAGTCCAAGTGAGAGGTTATGAAGGCTTGATCTAGGGTGGTAGCTGTGTGAGTGGAGAGAAGGGGACATTTGAGGGAGAAGAAATCAGAGGATCTGAAAACTTACTAGATATATAGATTGAACAAAAGTGAGGAGTCAAGGATGATGCTGAGGTTGTGAATGTAGGTGACTAGGAGGGTAGTAATGCACTTAACAGAAATAGGGAAGTTAGGCAAATAGATGGATTTTTTGGGAAATATAATGAGACTCTTAGACACGTTGAGTTTAAGAAGTTGCTGATGTAGGATTGGATCTTGGGAAAGATACTAGGCTTGGATATAATCTGGTAATCATTTGTATAGAAAAGATATAGAGCATGTCCAGGAAGAGAAGGTAGTCAACAGTATCAAATGCTGATGAAGAAAGGGTGGCCAAGGATGCAATTTCATCCAGAGGGAGCCAAGTATGTCTCAGTAAGTGTCAGAAGATGTAACAAGAGAGGAAACGGTCCAAGATGAGAGGAAGTTTGCTAATTTTGGATCATGAGTTCCAGAGGGCACAGTGGAAGGGATGGGCTGTTTTAGAGTGAAAGATTTTGGGGGTAGGGTTGAGGTGAATGGGAATGAGGGGGCAGAACAACTGAGTTGGGTAGAGAGAGTTGTTCTTTGGCTGGTCGGTATCACTAAAATAGTAAGTGTAATTAGGGAGTGAGAGTACGCTAACAATTGGGGAATGAATTATTTAAAGTATCAATGAGTCCTGCTGGTTTAGTTTGATGATTAGAAGCATGAAGGTTTACTCTCAAGGTTTTGACACAGCTCTTACCTGCTATGTTACCATGTCCTAGGAGGCATCTGGGAGCCTGAGTTTTCCATGTATTCTAGTAGCATCTTAGATTGTCTTTCATAATCTTTCTTGATTTCAGTCATATCCACTCACAGTAGGCATGAGCAGATGGTGGTGTGCTCCTGGCCAAGAGACTTCTGTGTCTCAGGAACTGACCCTCATTTGCTACTATTGATATTAATTCTTTTTTTTTTTTTTGCCATGGAAAATAAAACAAATTGATTATCTACAAAGACTGCAGAAAAAACTCAATTATCTATGGGCTTGGGTACAAGAAAACTTTATTCCCTGGTGAGTCCTATCTCCCCCCTGGGTATCATATAATAATTTCTATTCTATAAAGTTACTTTGGTTTGGGAAATTACTTTAGGCAGGAAAAGGAGTTCTGTTTTTTTTTTTTAACTGTTTCATGTTCAAAGAATTCATCACCTAGAAGCCACTTGCAGGTGCTAAACCTCTTCGTACTCAGCTAGCCTGGTAAGCAGATAGCCTGTCACCTGGCCTGTACTGGAAGCCTTCAAAGCCCAGGAGAACCTGCCAGAACTTTTGTTAGTTGCCATAATCTTTGAAAACCAAGGGTCACTTTCATGGCACAATTAGAAAGTTGAGTAGAACTCTGGCTTTTTTAAAGTCTTTAAAAATATAAGGAAGATTTAACATGCTCTGAAAAAGTAGAATACTTTATATCTTGTTTTGGTAAATTTATTAAGCTAGCACTTTAATGGCTTTACATTGTATTTTCCATACTTCAGATTATACAGGAGCAAGTCTCTGATAGGACTTCTGCTCGTATGGAATTCTTTGAAACAGCAGGTGTTATATGTAGTAACTTTGATTTGTTTTCTGGATAAGCCTGACCCTAGTAGTTCATGTTTGATAATTAGGACAAAATGAGACACTTGTGTGTCATTCAGCAGTTTAAAAAAGGATATTTACTTAGCCATAACAGGAGGATATTAAACAAAGCTATGTATTGAGGACACCTTGAGTTAGTTCAGCTGAGCAAAGCTCCTCTGCCCAAGTTATCCATGGCTTTCCACCAGGCAATCCTAGGGAGCATGTGGAGCACCTGATGGCTGTTTTTGACTCCTGTTGCCAGGAAGTGATGTCAGCAACCCTATGCCAGCCGAGTCTAGAGAATGGTTCAGTACTTCCCCCCCCAAAAAAAACACCCCCAAACCTAGCTTAATTTGCATGGGGAGAGGAAAGTGTTAGAATATTGTTCCCACTACAGTTTGCCATTCTAATAATCTTGTACTACTTATTGAAACTTCACCAATGCTGCACACAAACTAATAGAAGAAATTAAAAGTTTGATGTCTTTTTGTGCAGTTTGTCAACCTGTATACAAATTCAAGTATACACCAATTTATCTGTAAAGACAAAAACACATTTTATTTCTATATTATTTAAAAACATCCAGCACTAAAGTCCCACTTTGATGTTGCTTTATAATATGGAGGTGACCAAGGGTTCTTAAAGGCTCTAACAGCAAAATGACAACTCTGTTGAATCTTAGACAACTATTATTATTGTCATTGTTATTGCTCCGTTGTTTATCCTTCATTCTCGAAGAGAACCAATGACATCAGAGGGATGATGTCTTGACCTGCAATGAATTGGATTTATGTGAGGCAGAGCAAAGTCATCAGCCCCACTCTCTCCTCCAAGAGTCATCAGAATCCAGGGGCAAGACATAGGTCAGGAGGACTGGCAGTGGCCCAGGATGCACTGGGAGACTTTGGCTTTTTCAAGTTAAGATCTTTTCCAGGTCCCAGTTTCTCTGAGACAACAGCCTTTCAGTGATTAAAGGCTAGGTAAGAAATTTGGCAAAAGATGGCCTGGTTTATCTTCACAAAAGAGTCAGTCTGAGAGGGGAAAACTCTCAGAGATTCTGGCCTGAACAGAAACATTTGCTATTTACCTGTTATTGCACTACCCACTACTCTATCCTCGAACCTTTCCAAGATTTCTTTTGGATGAGCAACTGTTAGACAGTAGACTTTCTCTGAGGCAGCTAGGTGGTACAGTGGATAGATTGCCAGGCCTGGAGTCAGGAAGATACTCTTCCTCCTGAGTTCAAATCTGGCCTTAGACATTTACTAGCTGTGTGATCCTGGACAAGTCACTGAACCCTGTGTGCCTCAGTTTCCTCACCTGTCAACTGAACTGGAGAAGGAAATGGCAAACCACTTCAGTATTTTTGCTATGAAAACCCCAAAAGGGGTCATGAAGAGTCAGAAATGATTGAAAAACTACTGAACAACAACAGACTGTCTGTGACACTTAATAGAATACTTTTAAGGTATGTAAAAAAGCACTTTACATATATCACCTCATTTGAGTATCACAACAATCCAGGTAGGTACTATAGTTATTCTCATTTTACAGATGAGTAAGCTAAAGCTCAGAGAGGTTAAGTGACAATATAACAAATGTTATTACTATCCTCCTCCTCCTCCTCCTCCTCCAATATTTATATAGCACTTTTACTATGTGGCAGGCACTGTGCTAGGTACTTTATAATTATTATCTCATTTGAGACTCACAACAAGTCTTAGAGGTAGATGCTATTTTGCAGTTGAGGAACTAGAGCAAACAAAGGTTAAGTGATTTGCCCAGGGTCACACAGCTAGGAAGTGTCTGAGGTCGGATTTGAACTCAAGTCTTCCTGATGCTAGGCTCAGTGCTCTATCCACTGCTCTATCTAGAAAAGCTTTTGGTGTTGACCAAGTGTCTGTTGTTTGATCTCTAATTCAGCTAAATTCTAAGAAGCTGATTACTCTGATGACCATAGGATGATGAATTTTTTTGGCCGCAGCAATTTTTGAAGGCTATTACTAAATCAAAGAGATTGTGATCTCTGTCAATAGTCATAGCAATGAAATCACAGGTACTTGAAATATTGCAGTAATAGTAGAAAAAAATTAAATTTTTTTTTACTAAAAATAGTAAAGACTAGCATATGTTTCAAAATTAATTTAACATGTTTTAAGATAATTCATGAGAGTGGTATATGGTGATCAGATGTTGTGGGTGCTCAGATTTTGGCTACTTCATAAACCAAAAAATTCCCATGGAGGTATAGATTCGAGTGGGCCATCTTTTAAGCTAAGTTCTTTTTTTTTTTTTTACTAACGTGTCTTGGAATCATCATTAATGGCAGCATTTGTATCAAAAATTAAATATTAAATTCTTTGGGAATTTTCATTTTTATCTTTATGTCCATTTTTATATTACATGAAATTTTCTACTATTTTTTATTTTTGAAGGTGGCAATTCTCATTCCTTTTCGTAATCGCCATGAGCATCTTCCAATTTTTTTCTTGCACCTGATACCAATGCTACAGAAACAACGATTGGAATTTGCCTTTTATGTCATTGAACAGGTGAGCCTTTTTATTTAAAGTAGTAGAAAAATGTGTTGAATTCTGAGACTTCATTCATTAAATGGACTAGGATTCACTTTATTTATCAGGGCCACTTGATGATCAAGTGTTTGATATAAAATTGTATTTCAGATCTAGTTTAAATTCCAAGTTGCCAAATTCCTTTATTTGGTCAGCAGCTCTTTAATAAATACTATTTTAAAATCAGAATCTTTGTTAGGTTATAGCCAATGTTAACTTGTAGTGCTAAAATCACTACTGCCTTCCCCATCAACCATATCCCTTAAAAACCTATGTTGTGTTGCCACGTCTACTGACAAACCTTCGCTTCTGAGTAGAATTAAAACGTTCAAAGTGTTTTTGCTCACTTTGTATAAGATGAATACCTGGGGTCTAGATCTTCCTAAGATTCCTTCTCTTAATTACTTTCATTGTGTACAGAATTTATAAGATACCTGATAGTCTGCACCTTTTAGAATATATGCAAGAACTGTACGAAGACAACTACAATTGTTTTCAGAAATACAGACCTAAGTAATTGGAAAAAATGAGCAATTGGTAGGATAAGCCAATATAATAAGTAACAATATTACCTAAATTAATTTACTTATGCAATGACATGCCAATTAAGCTACCTAAGTGTTATTTTATAGAATTAGAGAAAGATAATGAAATTCATATGGAAAAACTTCAACAATCCTGAAAGAAATAATGACATGGGAATGAAGGGGGCCTAGCAATGCCAGATCTCAAACTGTACTAAAAATAGTTATTATTAAAAACAATTGATACTGGTTAAGAAATAGAAAGATCACTCAGTGGAACAGATTAGGTTTATAATAAGCAAGGGTCTCAGTATTTGATACACACAAAGATCCCAGCTACAGGCATAAGAACTTAGTATTTGACAAAAACTACTGGGGAAAATTGGATAGCAGCAATGTAGAAGAATTTAGATTTAGGTCAGCATCTTATACCTTATAGAAAAATAAGCTCCAAATGGATACATGATGTAGACATGTAAGGTCACATAATTAAACAAATTAAAGGAGCATGAGAAAAAAATTGTCTGTCAGATCTGTGGATGATTGAAAAGTCATGACCAAACAAGAAATAGAGATCATAAAAGATAACATGAATAATTTTGATTACATAAAATTAAAAAGTTTTTTGTATGAGCAAATCTGATGAACTAAAAGGGAAACAATTAACCAAGAAAAAATGTTTGTAGCAGATTTTTTCAATTAAGGTCTTAAGGAAATGATTCAAATTTATAAGAAAAAGAGCCATTCTCCAATTGACACATAGTCTGAGGATAAGAACAGACATTCTCAAGGGAATAAAGGTTATCTATAGCCATATGAAAAAATACCCCAAATCATTACTAATTAGAGAAATGCCAGTTAAAGTATTTTCTAAATTCTACCTCACACTCTGGAGAATGGAAAAGATAACAAAATAAGATAATGACAAATATTTAACGGGTTGCGGGAAGACAAGCATATTGTGTGCTATTGATAAGCCTATGAATGGGTACAACTGTTTTGGAAAGCAATTTGGAATTATACACAAAAACTTACTAAACCATGTATGCCCTTTGATTCAGCTAAAACCCCATAAGCTTATATCCAAAAGAGATCAAAGAAAGAAGAAAAGCTTCTTATGCACAAAAAATATTTGTAAAAGCTCCTTTTGTGGTGATAAAGAACAGGAAACTAAGAGGATTTCCAACAGTTGAGGAATGGTTGAATAAATTTGGTATATGAATGTGGCATACTGTTGGGTTATTAGAATTAGGTGGTTTCATAAAGATATGGAATTATGTAAACTAATGCAGAATGAAGTGAACAGAACTGGAACAGTTTGTATCATGCCATCAATGTTATAAAAATGAACATTTTTGAGAACTTTATAAACTGATGAAAAATGAAATAAGCAGAACTAGTAAAACAATTTTTTTATACAATCATAACAATATTGTAAAAAAAAAAATCTTTGAGGCTACAACAACTATCATATCAATACATAATTCCAGAGTACCAATGATGAAAACATGCTTACTTATAGAGAGGTGATGGATTTTGGGTGAAGAATGAGACACATATTTTTTTGTGTACATGTATTGGAGGCGGATTTGTTTTGCTTGACTATGCATATTTGCTATAAGAAATTTGTTTTTTTCTTTTCCTTTTTTTTAATGGGGCAGGTTTGGGCAGGAGAGAAAATAGATTTTAGTTAATTTAAAAACTAGAGAGTAGGGGCAATGCTATAAATGTGAAATGTTTCACGCAATTTCAGATGAGATTACTGTATTATTAGTTTAATTTAACTGATTTATTTTGTTAAGACAGCAACAAAGTGGGAGTAATATGTAAATGTATGCGATATAAAACAAAACACATCAATAAAATGGAAAGTGGCCAAAAAAGTTAAGAAAAGAGTATTTTAGTTTATGGTGTGTGAATTTAAATAGCAAAATACAGAGAGTTCCTTTAAACTTGTAACTGATATTTATATAGTACCTCAGGGTTTATAAAGCACTTTACATACATTATTTCATTTGCTTCTTTAACAACCATGAAAATAAATACCATGTTTATTGGTGTTCCTATTTTACAAATGAGGGTTAAAGAAGTTGCAATCTTTCTATGTCTTGTAAGGATTAAGCATAAGAATATAAACTCAGATCTTTTTTGACTCATTCTCTTTTTTCTATACCAAATTGCCTTTCATAAATATTTTAAATAGGTATAATATATACATACTTTAATGAGCCCATGATCTTATTTGAGCCAATATGACCTTTTCATGTTTAAATTGCAACTCATACATGTCTTCTTATCCTATATAACACTTACCCACCTCCTTCCAGAACTCCTCCATAGTGGATCTGCCTAGCATGTTGGAGCCCTTCTTTGTCTCTAATGTTTCATGAATAAGGGTTCCATACTTGGGCTATCTGTTACCCATATTCTTGTTATCCCTTCTTTTGGGCTCATGCATGACCTTAATGGTGTTTTTTAATGCTACTTTAAAGCAAATCATTTTTGGTATGTGCTTCAGCTTCCCACCATAGCTCTTTACATCGTCCTTTAGGTTAAACACAATTTTGATTATTCAAATATTGTGGTGTTCCATGATTCACAGCCATATAGCTATACTGGGAGAGTATTATGATTCTATATACATGTTTAACTCTACATATTTCTCCCCACATATACATCTTTCTATAATGACAGGATGAATTATCTAGCGGTATTTTTGACAAAATATAATTATAAAAATGCAAGATCTTTTTAGAGTGCTATTGCCATCCATAAAAATAAACACTGTACTAGATTTTCTAGTTCAGAATTGGTCAAATGAAAATCAGACAATAGGCAACTTAAATGTAAATAAATGTGCTTTTCCCATTCTTTTGATTTTCATTTTGTTTGATTTTACTGGGAATCCTGTGGCTGTATAACAGAATCCTGGTTTTGTACAGTGTAGGCAGATGTTTGTATTTTCCTAGCCTATTAATTATGGGGAGCAGTATTTAGGGACTAGAAGACAGTTGAACAGATAAATATAGGTGGAGTCCATTATACAATTTGAAGGTCTAATTATTTTTGAACACTGCTTACAGAGCTGTTGCAAATGTGGCTTGAGCTATAGAAATGAGTAGTAGGTGAATTGGCCTTTATGTTTTTAATGACTATATACACTTTTTGTTTGTTTTTAGGGCACAGGTGTTCCTTTTTTAAATACCATAATTAGTTTTATGTAGTCTCTCTGAAATTTTTGAAAGAGGTACTATTTCAGAAATTGAACCAAGTAACAGAGTGCAGGACAATGCAATGGCACTGATAACTCATCTACTTTTATTCTTTACCCTTTGTTTTTTGATCATCTTTTCTCTGGTCTTCTGGTTTTTTATTTAATCATTTCCCCACTCTCTTCATGTTTTTCATTCCCTTAGATTCGTTCTATTTTCAAATTCTTCATTCTAATTCCTTTTATAATCGATTTGTTCATACTTGCAGAGTTACATCTCTCTTAATGTTCTGCTTTGTCTTTGGCATATCATTTAACTTTACCTCTCACCAACAATCTCTACTCAGATAAACTCTTTCATTGTTGTTATGATAACGATGCTGTCACTACTTCCATGCCTTAGCCCTTTTAGCTTTTATCCCTTTCTTTTCAACATCTATGTTTTTACCTCCTGGAACAATTTAAAAGCAGTTGCTTTTAAACCTCTTAATTTCTTCCCAGAATCATGGCTTGTTATCCTTTTAGATATAGTTTAAGCTCAACATCTTGAATTTGAATATAGTAGATAGTACACATATTTTTTCTCTGTCATTTTTACCATTATGTGGCTTAAGATACCACTTTTCTTTTTCTTTTTTTTCCCCTTCAACCATTATACCAGTTGCTAAAATTTAGCACAGCCTTTCTAAAATGGTGCATTTCTTTCCAAATATGAATGCTTTTTGTGTTTTGAATATTTTTGGTCTTGATTTTTGGACAGCCTCTTTTATCATCTTATCTTTTATTTCTTATACAAAATCTGATTGTCAAAGTTAGAGTCATAAAACTTCAGAGCTGGAAGAGACCTCACAGAGCTCATCTAGCACAACCTTTATTTGAAGGGCGGAACATCTCTACATAACCCATGATAAGCAGTCATCCATTCTTTTTTGTGTGTGTGTGGTTAGGCAATGGGGTTAAGTGACTTGCCCAGGGTCACACAGCTAGTAAATGTTATGTGTCTGAGGTCGGATTTGAACTCAGGTCCTCCTGAATCCAGGACTGGTGCTCTATCCACTGCACCACCTAGCTGCCCCACAGTCATCCATTCTTTGCTTGAAGATTACCAGAGTTTTAGACTTTATCAGTAGAATTCCTCTATTTTGATGAAAAAAATCTCATTTACGAAGCTCATTAGTATGTACCACTTAATGACTTAAGTTTCTTCTCTATTCTTTTTTTTCTTTTCCTTTTTTTTTCCTTATGCATATCTCTGAACTTTACGTCTCACCCTGGCAAAACTCAGGGACTTCTGTCACTTGATCCTTGTTTTTACAAATATTTCTTCTTTTTCTTTCTTAAATTTTGTTCCCCATTCATATGAAGTGTGCATCTTTCCAACTATAACATAGCCAGCTTGTAATATTGGCTTTCACCTACTGTCGTCATCTTCATCATCTTCATCATCATCATCATCATCATCATCATCATCATCATCATCATCATGTAGTTCTAGTCTATTTCCTTGCAGGGAAGGAAACCAATTCCTTCTTTACCTACTATGGAAGTAGCCACAGTTGTCAGTATACTGTGTCACATCCATCAGTCTCTGTTTTTTCTTTCTCTTGCAAATCCAATCCCATATACCATTGCATTTTAAAAAATGTTTTTATTGATGTCTTTTGTTTGTTACATCATTATAGTTATCCCAAGTATCTCTCCCTCGGCCCTTCCCAAAGAACCATTGTATATATTGAAACACATTTTTTTAAGAAAGGGGAAAAACCGATACATTGAAAAAAGTCCCAAAACACAAAGGGGTGGGTTGGGGGTGTTCTCTCATATCTCTTCACTGAAGTCTTCCTTGATCTTTATAATTTTGTCATGTTTACATTGAGTTTTTGGTGTGGAGTACTTTCCATTTACATTGTTGTAGTTACTGTGTATATATTTTTGGCTTTGCTTACTTCACTCTGCATCAGTTTAGATAGCTCTTTCCAAGCTTCTCTTTATTCATCACACACATCATTTCTTAAAACGTATTAATATTCCATTACATTCACAGACTACCTTTTGTTTAGCTATTCCCCAATTGATGGACATGTACTTTGCTTCCAGTTCTTTGCTATTGCAAAAAGTGCTGCTTTAAATATTTTATTTTATTTGAGGACATTCTTACTTATGGCTTCCTTGGTGACCCACTAATGGAATCTCTGGTTGAAAAGGTATGGACATTTTAGTCACTTTATTTGCATCATTCCAAGTTGCTTTTCAAAATGGTTGTATTACTTCATAGCTCTACCAACAATATAGTAGTGTTCTTATCATTCTACAACCCCTCCAACATTGACTGTTCATTTTGAGGTCATTTTTGCCAATTTGCTGATGTGAGGTGAATTTTCAGGCTAACATTCTATTGACACCTCAGAACTAGGGAAGGCAACAGCTTTTACTTTTATGCAGGCAGGTTAACTTGAGACTCAGGGATCATTGTGATTGATTCAGATACATTGGGAAGTAATCTTCTGAGAAATAATCAAGTTGTGATGTGGTCTTCTGTTTGGGCATAGAGTCTTAAGGTGACTATTAATCGTCAGAACCATCTAGCTAGTAGTATGTAGCCTTATTCTATCCACGATCTTCATCATGTGTGAGCTATCAGAATAATTAGACAATGGACCAAAGATTTCATGTATGACTTTTTTGTCCATATTACCGTTTTGTTGAACAAGAAAAAAGCTTATAAAAGTTGTGTGATTTCTAGTCACTACAGGTTTGTGATAGAAGAGCCAAGATGAATGTATGTGATTTCAGTGTTGACCATATTTTCTATTTCATTCATTTGTAACTTCTTTTATTTTTCACCTGGAAATGTTTTAGAACGGTGTTATTTCCATGAGGGCAAATGTCACATAGTAATTCTTCACAAATGTATTAGCACAGCCCTTTGCAATTACCAAATGCTTGTCAAATTTACAACAATATATTAATGTCAATTATCATGCAATACACAGGATGTCCCAAAAATCTTACTACACCTTAAAGCTGCACTATGACTTTTGGGACATCCCGTTTATATTTTAATGTTGTCAGTAGTAATTAAAAACAAACAAACAGGAGAACACCTTTTCTATCATTGTCAAGGGCACCACTATTTTCCCAGTAATCCAGGCCCACAAATTTGTTACAGACCTTGACTCCTTACTCTTACTCCATATGTCCAGTTTATTACCAAATCTTATAATTTCTTCCTTTACAGCATCTCTAGGATATTTCCCCTTCTCTTCACTCACATAGCCACAGCCCTGGGTCAGGCTCTCACTATCTCTTGCATGGACTACTGCAATACTCTTCCAATTGGTCTTCCTGCCTCAAGTTTCTCTCTACTCTAGTTGCCCTTTCTAAAGCACAGGCCTGACTATGTCAACCTTTGCTCAATGAACCCCAGTGGCTACCTGTTACCTCCATGACCAAATAAAAAGTCCTTTGTTTGGCATTTAAAACTCTTCATACCCTGTCTGCTTCCTACATCCTGACCTTCTTATGCCTTACTTCCCTCAAGGACTCTACATTCTGACTATATTGGCCTACTTACTTATAGCTCTTCAAACATGTTCCTCTGTCTCCTATTTCTGTGCCTTTTTTTGTGTGTCTCCCCCATATCTGGAATCATTTGATCCCTCACCATCAGCACAAATCTTACCTTCTATATGACACTTCTTTCAAGTTACTTTTGTATACTTCGTTTATATCTTATATGAACCTAGATATTTACATGTTATAAATTAGAATGTTTGCTCCTTAAGACCAGGGCCGGGGTGTGTGTGTGTGGTGTTTTGTTTTTGTTTTTTGTCGAATTGGGGTTAAGTGACTTGCCCAGGGTTACACAGCTAATGTCAGGTGTCTGGTCTGAGACTGAATTTGAACTCAGGTCCTCCTGACTCCAGGGCCAGTGTTCTATCTGCTGTGCCACCTAGCTGCCCTGAGTAAGGCCTGTTTTTTGCCTTTCTTTGTATCCCTAGGGCTTAACATTGCGCCCTGCACATAGAAAGCATTTAATAAATGCTCATTAACTGACTTTAAAATATCTTTAATAATAGAAAGTAGTGCTGTCAGCTTTTATTATTATTAATAATGTAAGAAAATATAAAATCTCTGTGCCTTTATTATAAAAGTGTTCCACTTTTAATTCCTGACTACATTTTCAAGTTAAAAATAAAGATTTCTGTTGTTGAATAGACTGGATAGTTTGGAAAATTTGGGAAAATAAAGTCCTCCATTTTGATTTGATAGAACCCAGTAGTAACTTAATTAACAAATGGTTAGTATCAGTTAATTGTTCAGACAGCAATGCTTTTATTCAATATCATTTGATGTTATCAGTATACTCAAATATGGTATAGGTTAATTTTGACTAGTAATTGAATGTTTATACTGTGAAATGTTTATTATTTTTATATACCACTCAATCAGGTAATAGTACCTGTTTTAATTTTTTTTTTTGCAATTTTAGTATCCTTTCACTGATGAGTTTTACAAAGAAATGAGTATAGCGATGATTTTGGACTTGAAGCTTTGTAATAAATTTGTTTCCTCTACAGTATGATAAAACCTGTCTATTTTTCTTATTCTTATAATTTGTCTTCTCTTTGGTTTCTCTCCTTAAAGACTGGCACCCAACCTTTTAATCGTGCAATGCTCTTTAATGTTGGATTTAAAGAAGCTATGAAAGACGTGATGTGGGATTGTATAATTTTTCACGATGTGGATCATTTACCAGAAAATGACCGAAACTATTATGGGTGTGGAGAAATGCCACGTCATTTTGCAGCAAAGCTGGACAAATACATGTACATGTGAGTAATATGTAATTTCCTTGGGAAAATGTATCTATAAAATATCAATAATAACTGAATAGGTTTATATGGCTCAAGTCACAGTCAAAGAATTCCAGAGTTGGAAAAGAATTAGTGGTCATGCAGTCAAACTCTTAACATGAAAAAAAGGAAGCTGACATTTATAATGTGCTTTAAAAGATTTGAAAAGAGCTTTACATACATTATCTGATTTGGTTCTCATGACAACCCTGTGAAATAGATGCTATTGTTATCCGAATTTTACAGATTAAGAAACTGAGGCTGAGAGAGGATAAGTAAGTGACTTGTCCAAGGTCACACAACTAGAAAGTGTCTGAAAGAGATTTTGAACTCAGGACTTTCTGACTTCTAGTCTAGCACTCTATCCATGGTTCCACCTAGCTAATAAGGGAAATAATTTCCCTTTATGTGACAAAGTGGTCATTTAGCCCCTCCTCAAAGATCTCCAATGAGGAGAAAACCCAGTACCCTCTGAAGCAACCTACTCCATTTTTGTATAGTTCATAATGTTAGGAATTTTTTTTTTTACATCAACCTTAATTTTGCCTCTTTGCAACTTCTGTTTGTTTCTCTTAGTTCTTTTTCTGGGACTAAACAGAATGAATCTCATCTCTTTTTCTTGTGGTAGCCTTTCAGACTTGAAAAACCACTATCATGTTTCCTATGAGCCTTCTCTTTTTTAGACTAAACCTCTCCAGTTCCTTCAGCTGATTCTCATCTGACGTGAACTCTAGTTAGTGTTCCTAGAACTTAACTATGGTCAATTCATCCAGGGGATCTGTGAATTTGGATGGGAAAATAATTACATTTTTATTTTGATATAATTGTTTTTCCTTTGTGGTTCTATGGATTTTATTTTATGTGTATAAAATTTTTTTTTTCTGAGTAGTCTATAAGCTTTACCATACTGCCAAATAGGTCCATGATCCCCCCCAAATTGAGAACACCTGCTTTTAAATAGCATTCTATAGGTACAGTAGTAAAGAACTTAACATTCATGTAGGACTTCTGTTCAGCACTTTGCATATTGACAAGTCTTGCTTCTATGGGTTGAATCAGCAGGCAACTACAACGGACTAGAATAGACCCTACAGTTGTGTCTTCAGAATTTCCTTCTTGATAACTTCCCACCCTTCCTTGGTTTACTTAGCCTTGAAGAATTTTAGGCCATGAGATCTTCCTACCTTGTCTTTCTTCTGAACTTTTTGCCAGACTGGTTCTTAGCTTTCTTCTACTCTGTCATATAAAATTCTTTATCACATTATAGGACCATAGGACCATAAAGGAACCCAATCATATTGAAATAAAGATGTAATTATTTTCCCATTTAAGTTTGTAGGCCCCTTGGTTCCATGGAACCCAGGTTAAGAACCTTGCTTTAAAGGATAAAGACTGGCTTAGAGAGTTAAGCCAGAAATTCAGGCTGTGAACAAACTTAATGGCCCCTTTTTGTTTTACCAGGAAGCTTTCAAAGACTTGAACCTCTGGGATCTGGGAAATTGACAGATAAGTTATGTAAGTCAATTGCTATTGCCAGTACCTTTTTCTAGGAATGGGAGATGCAACAGGCTTCACTGAAAATTTGGACAAGCAATATTTGACTACTGAAATCATAGCTTCAGTTCTTGTACTGGATACTGGTCTGTGCTGTTAGAGATTGCTCAGTAGCATTATGAAATACAACCTGGACCTGGAATTGATTGATTTCAGGGAAGATTACTGCTGTGTGAGTGTTTGGTAGATCTTGAAACTAGACATTATTTGGCATGGAGGATGTTCAGTGAGGAGTGTGTTACTGGTTATGGAAAGAACATTCTGTGTGAGTTGGGGAAGAAATGACAGCTGGGAATTATAGGGCAGCTATAATTCACCCCCATGCGAATTACTTTGTGTAGCTTTGTAACTTTTTCTCCATATGTGTTGTTTTCCCTCTAGTAGAATGCAGTCTCCTTCAGGGCAGGGACCATTTGGTTTTGCCTTTTCAACAGTACACATTAGGAGCTCCATAAATGTTGAATTAAATTGAGCTTATTTTAGTGGCCCTGCAAATCCTGTCAGAAAGTTCTTCCTCATATTTAATTTAGATCTTTTCTCCTGTACTTTTAAACGTTCCCCTCTTGCTTCTCTTTCTTGAAGATGAAGAATAGCTGGTTACCTATCACCCACACGTTATCTATTCATTTAACTTCATTATTTGGGGGTTAAAATTTCTTTAATATTTCTTTATAGATTCTGGTCATTTCATCACTGAGGGTTTTTCTTCTGCATTCTGTCCAAGGTTTCCTTATTCTTTTTAAATTGTAGAATCCCAAACTTTGTAATAAAGTCTGATCAGCATAGAATATGGGGTTGAAAGAAACATTCCTATGGAGGTCACAGATGTTGTGATTCCTGTTTATAAAAGTCAGTAAGTAACATGCTCAACTACTAAACAAGTAATGAAGTAGGTAATTGGAAAGATCAGTGACTTGGAGACAGAATTGGGTTTAAGCCCTGGCCATGTAACCTTGGGCCCTTTATCTGAAGCTGGAAGTAATACCAATAAAATGGAGATAATAATTCTTACCTACTTCACAGTGTTCTCTTGAGGAAAGTGCTTTGTGAAACCTTAAAGCTATATACCAATGTGACCTGTTCTTACTATTGAAGTTGAATACTCAGTAGCTTCCTAGAGTCAGGAGGACCTGAGTTCAAATGCAACCCCAGACACTTACTTATTAGTTGTGTGACCCTGGGCAAGTCACTTCACCCTGTTTGCCTTAGTTTCCTCATCTGCAAAATAAGTTGGAGAAGGAAAAGGCAAACAACTCCAACATCTGCCAAGAGAACCCCAAATGGGGTCACAAAGAGTTAGACACAACTGAAAAATGACTGAACAACAACAAAAATATTTAAAGGTAAATTTGTTTAGTCACTGTGGAATTACTGCTTGAATAAGCTGTGCTTTTAAACTTAATATACCATGCATGATTATTGTATAAACAAAATGATTTATTCACTTCATGAAGTGGTTTCCATTTACTCCCTCTGTAAAGATTCTGAATGATTTAAAAGGAGTCAAGTGACTGGGCTGATCATTCAAATAACTCTGACTTCAGCCTTGTCACTTGTAACTCCCAGCAGTAACAAATAACTAGTACCCGAGAGCCCTTCATTGATTTGCTTGGAGGAATAATAGAAGATGAAAAAAATTAAAAGGATGAAAAGAGATGCAGGACTCTTATGTGCATAGCAGCTGGATAGAATATTTAACACGTTGTTTCTACCAGGGAAAGGAAAACTTAGAAAAGTAAAGGAATTTTAAATTCACAAACATTTACTCTGCACACAGCATCTCCACCAAAGTCCTACTATAATTCCTCATCAAAGGGGGAAAAATCAGGAAAAAACCTTCAGTTTAAAAAATATATCCATGCTTTTTGTTTTTATATAGAGTCACTTCTGGAAGCACTTTCAGTCCCTGCCCGCTTCCAGATTTAATCATCCCTTGTAAGAAAGAAAATCGAGAAGAAAAGCTAAATATATTGTTGAATATATGCAATGTTAGCTTTTGGCCTCTTTGTAGGGAGGAGGGAATTATGTTTCATTATTAGTTTCTCTTAGAACATTAGGGGTTTTTCAGTTACTTAAGGGTCCAGCTTCCATTTAGGGATCTTTTTATTGTGATATTGCTATAGTCATTTTGTCTATTGCTATTTTGTTGAGGCTCTTTTTTTTTTTTTGGCGAGGCAATTGGGGTTAAATGACTTGCCCAGGGTCACACAGCTAGTAAGTGTCAAGTGTCTTGTCTGAGACTGGATTTGAACTCAGGTCCTCCTGACTCCAGGGCCGGTGCTCTATCCACTGCGCTATATCTATTGATATTTTGATTCTGGATATCTTCCTCTAAGTTCATAATATCTTCCCATACTCCTCTGAATTCTTTATATTGATCATTTCTCGGTGCAAAATAATATTCCACTACATTCACTTAGGTTTGCTGAACCATTCCCCAATTGATGCATACCTACTTTCTTTCAAGTTCTTTGCTTGCTGCTATGAATATTAGACCTTTGTTTCTGTCTTTGATGGTCATGGAGGATATATTCCTAAATGCTATTGACTTGATAACAAAATAAAGGAGAGGTCAATTACACCCACCTGAAGAGGTGGGAAATGGGGATAATTTAATTTATGATTGGCCTTCATCAGCAGAGCAGGCCCTACCTCTTTGGGCATTCTTCATCATTTTGTATTTTTCTAGTAGCTTAGTAAACAAAAGGGGAAGCACAGGACTAAGAGCCATTTTGTGGTTTTCTTTGTTTCATGGGTTAATGTGACCAAAGAATTTCATCTCATAGTAGCCATCCTACTGGTCATGAGCCTTTCTATTTTGGTTAAGCTGGCCTTTAGAAAACATATATATAGTCTGCTGCTGGCCTATTGCTTTTTCATCTTGGTAGAATCTGTTAGCATTTGTTCCCATGTAGGCACTGCCTAGTAGAATGTAAGCTTCCTGAGGGAAGGGACCTTATTTTTTTTTTGGGGGGGGAGTCTTTCTGTTCCTAGTGTCTTGTACATAATAGGCCTTCACTAAATATTTGTTGAATTGAAGAACCCAGGATTACCTTTGTTCCATAATGAGGAATCAGGGAAGGACTTTCCTAGAGTCTGTAAAGTACATTAAAATATCCCTACATTATATACTGCCATTGTTTTCTAAATTTCTTTTTCAAAAAAATAAGAAATAACCAACCAGAGTTTGTGTAGAGACATCATGGCATAACGGGAAAAGTGCTAAACTTGGAGTCAGGAAGACCTGGGTTTGAATCCTGTCCCAGACCCTTAGCACAATGCCTGGCATTAAGTGTTAAGCACTTAATAAATGCTAATTGATTAGTAGTTGGGAGGGAGTCACTTAACCTTTCTAAATTTCAGTTTATTCATCTGTTAAATGGAGATATTAATACTACTTACCTCCATGGTTGTGAGAATCAAATGAGATATTGTATATAAATAATTATATAATTATAACTCTTAATATTATTTGGGAGGAAAAATACCTTCTTCTTCCTCCCGTTCCCATGGAATGGCTTTAGTGTTTCTGGAAGTTTTCTCCAGGTCTCTACGTCATGCTGTATTTTTCAAAAAGTCTACATCTCAAATGTCTGTGACCATTCATCTGTGCTGTTGGAATAGTTCCCATTTCAGCACCAGTAAAATACTTGATTTTTGACCTGTTTTCAGGAGTAGCATAGGAATAAGCATCTGGGCTAAATAAATTTATTTACTTATTCATCTTCATTTTGATTTTCCCCCACTGTAGGCAGCAAATTAATTTGTTTTCAATTAAATAATGTTTCTGTGTTTTATCAATGTAATCAACTGACTGATCAAATAAGCATTTATTAAACATCTACTGTGTGTCAGGTACTGTGCCATGAGCTGAGGATATAAAGACCAAAACAAAACAATTCCTGTTCTCAGAAAGTGTGCCTTTTAATGGAACTGTGCTGTTAATAGGTGCTTAGCAACTTAGATATAATTGTTGATAGACTTGGAAAAGACTTGGAATTTAATTTTAGCACCAAAAAACAAGTAGATACTTTGAACGCTCTTAGTATTCAGGTCTGGAAAAATAACAATATTGCAATTACTTGAAAACTACTATGCTATCAGAAATGATGAGTTCAATGATTTTAGAAAAACATGGATAGACTTGCACGAAATAATGAAGAGCAAAATGAGCAGAACTAAAAGAATGTTGTGTATGGTTAGCAGCAATATTGTTTGAAGAGCAGCTTTGAGTGAATAATTTTGATTATTATAAATACCCAGATTAACTACAAAGGTCATATGAAGGAAGTTACTATCTGCATCCAAGAAAAAAACTGATAATAGATAAAAACTGTGTATAGAATGGTTCTACATATACCCGCATATATATTTGTGTCTAATGGCAGCTATCTCTGGAGGGTGGGGAGGAAATAAAAGGAAAAAAAAAGAAATTTACATGATAACTATTATGTGTTTGAAAGGAAAATCAGATTGTACATAATAGATTTGCAGTTTCATATGCAATCATCTTTTAAAAATTATACTATGTTATGGAAATGCTATATTACATAAATTAAAATTAAAAAGTTATATTTGCTTTTTATAGTTCTATTTTTGTGACAGTACATTTGCAGGGCATTTTCCCCCTCTCACTGTAGTATAAAAATATTCTATTTATTGATAATTTTTAGTTATAAGTTTATATATTTTTAATGCTATTTAAAGCTTTTATGTAGGAATAATAACAGATCTTGTGAGCATTTTTACCTCTTTTATTCTAGCACTAATATCATGAAGATTGATATTATCTTTCATCATGAAAATAAGATTACTCCCCCCCATATCCTGTTATACTTACACATTTATAAGCTGAAAACTCTGATTTGTATGCAAAACTGCTAGGTAAATTTTATTGCTTAGAAGAAATTTTACCTCCTTTCTTTTTCAGTCTTCCATATAATGAGTTTTTTGGTGGTGTGAGTGGACTGACAGTGGAACAGTTTAAAAAAATCAATGGATTTCCTAATGCCTTCTGGGGATGGGGAGGAGAAGATGATGATCTCTGGAATAGGTATGTTGCTTGACTATAGAAGTTCCTCATTTCGTGCAAGAGTCCAAATCTCTTTTCACTATCAAACTAATGGGGAAATGAAAGAAGAAGGAATAATTATCTTTGTCATTTTCATAGCAATCCCTTGTTCAATGAAATAGAAATAGTTCAATTAAGTTTTCCAGAAAGGGAATTTTAGATTACATAAATTGTCTTTTATAAAGTTTAATTGCCATTCTTTGAAAAATATTGGCCTCCTAGATATCATAAACTAACATCTTTAAAGAACTGTTAGAATCATAGATACAACTGGAATTGCCATTCTTTGAAAAATATTGGCCTCCTAGATATCATAAACTAACATCTTTCAAAAACTGTTAGAATCATAGATACAACTGGATGTATCCCAAAGGTGAAAATTGTCTAATCCTCTTATTTTACATAAGAAAAAACTAAGACCTAGAGGTAAAGTTAGCAGAGCCCAGATTCTCAAAGCTGTATTTAAAGATGGCAGGAAGGAGGGATGAACTATCAAAACAGGAGATAATAATCAACATTATTAATAATAATATGTTGTATTCAAAACCCACGAGCAAATGCATTTTTTTAAACTGGTATTGTGATTGTCTCTTTATCTTACCCAGTTTACCATTTTCACTATGGAGGGAGCAGTCCCAAAAGTTTTAGTAACTTGGCTAAATTTTCATAAACTTCAAACCACCTTAACATATCTTACTTTTATTTCAAGGTAATCATTTTCTTACCTCTTTTCTGTATTTGAGGAAAGAGAAGGGGTAAGGAGACATTAAGAGAGATGGAATTTCTTTTTTTCAACTTCTTGCACTTACCAGCCTTTCTTTTTAGATGTCTCTCAGTAACACTTGTACAATTCTATATGGCGTTTTCATATGGAACAAGATAGCAACAAATAAATCTGACTGAAATGTTTATTCAGTATTTAAAAATTAAGACTTACATTATTATCTTCTGGGACATGTAATTAACTTTTCACTAGCTAGTGTTTTTGTTAGCAAATTAGTAGATTGTGCTTGTGTTGAACTTTATTTTTCAAAACTGATAGTTATTTCATGAAAGAAAGTCTCTATTTGTTGGTTTCACTGGTCTACAGAATTAATTCTCAATCCTTTCTTGGTGGATAGAAAGTAGTTTCTCCAAGATTCGTAATGACCTCCTTATTACCAAATCTAATGGTCTTTCTTTCAAACTCCTTGAATATTCTGAATCAATTGACATCATTGACCTCTCTATCTTAATGAAAATCAATCAATAAACATTTATTAAGTTATCTCCTAAGTGTCAGGAACTGTGCTAAGCATTAGGGATACAAAAAGAGGCAAAAGACGGTTCCTGCCCTCAAGGAGCTTTCAGTCTCACAGTAGAGACTATGAGTAAAGAAATACTTGCAAAGCAAGCTATATCCAAGATGAACAGGAAATAATTAACAGAGAGAAGGCCCCAGAATTTAAGAGGGGTTGGGAAAGGCTTCCTGTAGAAGGTGAAATTTTAGTTGAGACTTAAAGGAAGCCAGATAGGTAGGTAGTCATAGCAAAGGAGGGAGATGATTCCAGGCATGGGAAACAGCCACAGAAAATTCCTGGAGTTAAGAAATGGAATATCTTATTCATGGAATAGCCAGGAGGCCAGTGTTAGTGGATTGAAGATTGTGTGTTGGGGAGTAAGTATAAGAAGACTGGAAAGGTAGGAAGTGGATGGGTTATGAAGGGCTTTGAATATCAAACAGTACATTTCTATTTTATCCACTAGAGTTTAGTGGCTTAATGAAGGATGGGCTGGAGTAGGGAGAAACCTGAGGCAGGCAGAACCACCCATAGGCTATTGCAATAACCCAAGTAGAAGGCAACAAAGGCCTGCACTAAAGTGGTCGAAGTAACAGAAGGAGGGAGCATGTTCAAGAGAAGTTGAAAAGGTGAAATCAGCAGGCCTTGGCAACAGATTGGATATGGGATTGAAAGTTAGTGAGGAATACAAGATGATTCCTAGGCTGTGAGCCTGAGGGACTGGGAGGATGATATTCTACAGTAATAGGGAAAATGGTGGCAGAGGGAAGATAATGAGTTTCATTTTGTACATATTGAGTTAAAGATGTCTACTAGACAGTTTGAGATGTCTAAAAGACAATTGGAGATGCAAGACTGGAGGTCAGCAGAAAATTTGGGGCAGGACAGGTAGATTTGAGAATCATCAGCAAAGATTTAGCAATTAAATCCATGGGATGAGATTACCAAGTGAAATAGCATAGAGGGAGAAGAGAAGAAGTCCCAGGATAGAATCTTGAGGGACTCCTACAGTTAGTGTGATCTGGAAGAAGATCCAGCAGAGGATACAGAGGAGTAGTCAGATAGGTAGCAGGAGAAGGTATACCAAAAACCTAAAGAGAAGAGAGTATCAAAGAAAAGAGAATGATCAACAGTGTCAAAGACTGCAGAGAAGTTAGGGAGAATGAGATTGAGAAGAGATCCATTATAACTTTGGAGAAAACCGTTTCAGTGGAGTGATAAGGTTGGAAGATGGAATGTAGGTTAAGAGAGTGAGAGGAAAGTAGAGGCACCTATTGTAGATAACCTTTATAGTTACAAAGGGCAGAAGAGATATGGGACAATATTTAGCAGGGATGGAAGGATCAAATCAGGGTTGGTTTTTTTTTTTCAGGATGGGGGCAACATGGGCATATTTATAGGCAGCAGGAAATGAGTCAGTAGAGGGAGAAATTGAAAGTAAGTGAGAGATGGGGATGACAGAGGGGGCAATCTTTGGGAAAGATGAAATGGAATGGGATTGCTTGAACAAACAGAGAAGTTAGCATTGGTAAGGAATAAGGCCACTTTATCATGTGACACTGAGGTGAAGAAGGATAGAGTGACAGAAGGCATCTAAATGATAGAAGAGGGCAGAAGAGGAAGTTCCTAAAGAAAGCATTAATGTATCCTAATGAAACTCACTATCTTCTTTGGCTTCTGTGACACTATAATTTCATGTTCTACTGTGATAACCAGTCTGTTCCTCTCTGTCTCCTTTGCATATTCTTCTTTCTTCTGAATCCTGAATATGGGCATTCTTATGACCTCAGCTCTCTTCTCTCCCTTTGAGAATTTAATCAACATCTTGACTTCAGTTATCACTTCTATTCCAATGTCTTCCAAACCTATTTCTCTAGCTGTAACCTCTCCCCGCACATCCAAACCCACATTTCCACTTGTTAGATTTTTTTCCACCAGGACATCCTGCCAGCACTTTAAACTTAACATTCCTTAACTCAATTCATTGTCTTCTGCCTGATCATTTTCCTAATTTCTCCGTTTCTGTTCTTGGTATCCCTGTCCTCTCAGTTATCCATACTAGGAACCTTACAAGTCATCTCTTAATCACTCCGAGTCAATCTTCCCTCTGGCTCACCTTGGCACTTTCCATCAGTCGTCAAGTGCAGCCAATTCTGCTTCCCCACTGTAAGTTGAACCTCTTTTTTCTTTTCTGTTCCCCACTAAAATCACCCTAGTTCCAATTCTCATCTCCTCTTGCCTTGACCATTCTAGTCTCTCCCCCTCCCCAACCTGTAAAAGTGGCCTGTGGACATAGTCAATACACTAGGATTTTTATTCTTATCACAAACAGGAACCCAGAGAAGTAAATGGATCAAAGGATTGGAGCCCTAATCTTAGGTCGATACCCAGAGGTTATTTAAACAGTAAACACATTAAAAATGAAGGGAGGGAATGAAATTCATGTTTCTATCCCAATAATCAGACAATCAGTTGCAGAGATTTGATAATGAGTGATCCTCCACCAGACCTAAGAAAGGCATTGAACATAATGTCCCCTTCTATCCCTTGAGTCTCTTACCACAAACCTTGGGTTTCCTCTGTTGTAGTCAGTTAACAACTGAGTCCTGTAATAAATCTTTACAAATTTGTCTCTTTAGTGCTTATCTATGTCAACCCAATAGGAACATAGAACTAGACCTTGTATGTTGATGCCAGCAAGTGCTAAAATCAATCAATTTGTCAAATTTCCCTCCAGCTTTCCCCTCATTACCCTTTCTTACCCCTAGTGTGATATAAAAATCAAGCTGGAGATTGAGTAAAAGCCAACTCTTCCTGGGTGTTTGATATGTCCAGATCCCTGGGCAAAGGACATCCTGCCTAGACTCCCAGAACTCCTTCTGACCCTAACCTCACGACATAATCCATTAGATAATATTCTAGTTCTGTAGGGTTCTCATAAGCTTTGTGGGTTTTCAAAAACCCAGGGTTACTTGACATTCTTCTGTGATCTTTAATGAATGGGGGGTAAAACAGCATTTTTAAGCATTTACTGTATCGAGCACTTTGCTAAGTGCTGGGAATACAAATATAAAAGTGAAACTAGTCTCTGCCCTCAAGGAGTATAACTTCTTTCTTAAAATTTCATTTTATTATCCAGTTAATGAACACTTATTTTCTTTCCCTCCAATCACTCCCCTTTTAAAAGGAAAAAAGAAAAATCCTTATAACAAATATGCATAGTGAAATAAATATACCCCTCTAATTATTTTCCCCCATCATGAATATATGTTTCATTTTTTTATCTTAAATCTATCACCTCTTTTTAAGAAGGCAAGTAGCGTAGTTTATTATCGACACCAACATTGGTCATTAAATTGATCAGAATTTTTAAGTCTTTCAAAGTTGTATAATTTGTTCTCCTCATTCTGTTCACTTCTGTTTCATATGAATCTTCCTAAGGTTTCCACGAAACTGTCCCTTTTGCTGTTTCTTATGGCAAAATAGCATTCCATTGTATTCATATACCATAATTTTTTTAGCCTTTCCCCAAATGATGGGCACATCTTTAGTTTCTAGTTCTTTGCCACTGCAAAAAGAGCTGCTTTAAATATTTTAGGATCAAAAAATAGGGGGGAGACAACTGTAGGAAAAAGGTGGCCAGGGAGGGATATTTTGGTTTGGAAACTTATGAGGATAGTGAGTGCAGCTATAGGAGAGTAGGTTGGCACATCCTTTCCAGGAATTAATAACAGAGATGATTTTATTACAGATACAAAAATGGAAAACTGATGGTGGTGGTGGTGGTGGTGGTGGTAGGGAAATGTGTGAAATTGTACATGTGCAGTTGTAAGATGACTAGCAAAGAGAGGGCTGAGGAGTAATGTAAAGCATTGCTGGAGTCAGAATGTGTAGTGTATAACTGAGGCACCCACTAATCAGGATAGTGGGGTCCCAGTGGAGACATTATGGGGATGAAGAATCTTCAGGACTTGGTTTGAGGCATAATAGCTTGTAGTAATTTAGGTGAGTAGTAATGAGAACACAGAAAAGGGAACAGATTCATGAGACATTTTGGTGGGCAAATCAACAAAACCTTTTAACTGATTGGATGGGAGATATGAAGAAGGAAGAGACAAAGAACCTCAAGATTTCAAACATGGGATAAATAATCAAGTCAAAAAGAGAAGTAACTTGGGTTTTGAACATTTTGATATTGAGATGCTGATGGGATATCCAGGTAAAGATGGCTTATAGGCCTTACAGGTTTAGAGATTGTGAGAGAGTTCAGAGACTGAGCTGTAGATTTGAGAGTAATCTGTAGTGGAGTCAGATGAAGCTTTGGGAGACAATGGGATTGTCAAGGGAGAGAGTCTAGAGAGAGAAGGGCAGAGAGCTAAGAACCATTTTGGGAGAACATCCACCATAAGTTGTCAAGAAGAGGACAAACACAGAGGAGTGGTTAGATGGGTAGGAGGAAAACCAGGAGAATATCACTTCTGAAGCCAAAGGAGAAGAAAGTATTCAGAAACGAGGAGTCATTAATAGTGTTATATGTTCCTCAGATGCCAAAGATGATGGAGTTGGATGAACTTTCAAAGAGTAGTTTCACTAGAACGGTAGGAAGGAAACCAAGGTAAAGAGAATTGGGAGAGGGGATGCAGGCATCGGGAACAGACACTTTGTTTTCAAGAAGTCTGAGAGAAGAGACATGGAATGGTAGGTACATGGGGTAGAAGGGTTGTGGGAATTAGGAAAAATTACATATTTGGAAGAAAAGATTGAAAAGGTGTGAGAAAGAAGGGATGATTTCTGGTGCTCAGTTCTGGAGGAGGCCAGAGAAGTTAGCATCAAGGGAACAGTGGGCTTATAGTTTTAGTAACGAGTAGAGATAGTTCCTCTTTCCTGCAGTTCTCCAGTTCTAGTTTGTATTATAATAGTTGAGATATGTTCTGCATCTGATGTATACTGGCTATGTGACCTTGATAGAAAGCAAATCCTAAATACTGAAAATTAAAGAATTTTTGTTCCTTAAAGTGGTGTTGTGACTGACTATGAATTTCTAGAGGTATAATTGTGATGAAAGGCAGTATGATGTTGTCACAGTAAAGAACTGGCTTTGAAGCCAGGAAGCCCAGGGTTCAAAAGTCCTGCCTTTCACACATACTGACTATGTGACTCAGGGTAAGTCACTTAAACTCTTAAGAGTTCCCTAGTAACTCTAAGACTAATTATTGCAGGGAAAATGTTCACCTACATTGGTAGATGAAACTTTCTTAACAGGAGTTTCCTATACCAATAGAGTCATGGGTCTAGGCTCTATAAAGGGAATTTGTTTTAAGCAGCGAATTACAGTAATCATTCTTTAGGTGGTAGAAAGACAAGTGGTCACGTTCTGTTCTCTTCAGACATGTCCATAGCATACAGAAAAGCTCAAAACAGTTGTAGAAGTACTCCAGATTAGACCATTGTTAGAATGGACCAAATTGTTCATAACATTACAGTGTTCCGATAAAAATCTTTGTTGCATTGAATGTAATTGACCGTTAATACCTTTTGTCTCCTAATACCTGTTGGACAGACTTCCAGTATTTCTGAATCCATTCTATCGGTGGCTATTGTTCATAAATATTTTGCCATGAACTGATTCCTAGCTCCTATTCTATAATTGCCTTTCTCTTTCTATTCCCTCGGCCTTTAAAAAAAAGGAGAGGGGAACATAATACAGTGGCAGTCTAGTGTAACTCACAGAAATATAGAAAGATTCCTCAGACTTGCTTTGCATATTTAAATTGAAAACACAGTTCTGATTTTCATGTGTAAAGTTTGCCTAACTTATATTTTCCTCTCTTCACATATATTGAACTGTAGAGTTCATTATGCTGGATATAATGTGACAAGACCTGAGGGAGACTTAGGAAAATACAAGTCCATTCCTCATCATCATCGAGGGGAAGTCCAGTTTTTAGGACGGTAAGTTCCTATTTAGAAATTTGAATATAAAATGTTCACAACTAGATGGTCATAACTCTATGTGAAATATTTTAAAAGAGTTATTTGTATGTTAATAAAATCCTCAAGAAAGACTTTGTTTAAATATTTTAAAATTACCATTCTTTATAAAATGAAAAATGAAGGAGCAGCTAGGTGGCACAGTAGATGGAGCTCTGGCCTCAGAGTCAGGAGGATCTGAGTTCAAATCTGGCCTCAGACACTCCATAGTTACTAGCTGTGTGACCCTGGGCAAGTCACTTAACCCTGATTGCCTCACCAAAAAGCAAAACAAACAAAATGAAAAATGACACTCTCCCCATTATAATAAAAACATGTTGTATTACAGACTTCAGTTTACTTGTAGTAAAAATGATGATTCCTCAACTTATCCAAAGAAATTCGTAATGCTTCATCAGTTTTTATTTTCTTTCTGAACCTGATCTTGTATCCTCATTTCTCAAAAATGTATGAAGTAAATTATACATCATTCAGTAGACTAGATTGTAAATCAAGATTAGAGGAAGCTCCCAATTTCTGTTCCTTTTGTTTTAGGTCTGTGTAACACTGACATGGTTTCTAAAAAAAAAAAAAGACAATTTCATATTGAGTGTTACAGAACATATGAATCTCAATCAAAGGTAAAGGTGTAAATATAAAACTTATTTTTCTTTATAGATTTTGTATAAATCTGATAAAATTAATGACATGACTAAGAATGTAGTAATTTACCTAGGATTATTACATTGCAAAAGTGCAGCTATTTTGTGTTTTTTTTAACTTTTGAAAATGCAAAAGTTTTATAGTTATAAAGCCAAGATTTGGGCTTAGAAATATTTATGAATTTTAAATTGTTGTTTTTTTATTTAATATGTCAAAGACATCTCATCTTTTCCATGTAAAATGGATCCAAAGATACTGTTCATTGTATTTCTTTGTAAACATTTCACCATATCTTTTGTACTTTTCATCCTGCAGATATAAGTTGCTACGGTATTCAAGAGAGCGTCAGTATATTGATGGATTGAACAATTTAATATATACTCCTAAAATACTGATCAGTAGGCTGTATAAAAACATTACTGTAAACCTCACTCCAGATTTAGCTCCTGTTCAAGACTATTGAAAGAAATGGATCTTATTGCAAGACCAACTGTACTACTGGACTAGAAGCTTGGTGTGCACTGGTGGGAAATATTTATAGGAGCTTTTTGGCTATTGAGAGACGTGTGAAAAAAAAGTATGACAGTGCACTGTATGCCGAAAAGAAGTGCCAGCAGCCAATACTCAATGTTTACAGCATGGAACTATTAACAGTCAAGCCTTCTTTCACTATATTCTCTGTGTTAAGAAACCACTCAGCTATATACATGGATAGCACTGCAGAAAACAGATACCATTGCTTAGGAGTGAGAGCTCTCTTCTACCAGAAAAAAAATTTTATACTAAAAACTATGATTTTAATTTAAGTGAATGCTTTATTTCCTTTTAAAATGTTTTGTAAATATATGTGATGTAAATTTATGTGGTCAGGTAGCTTTTAAATATGATAATGTGTTGAAATTCTGCATGCCCTTATTTGTTTTTTTGTAGGATTTTAAAAAAAATTTGCATGGAAGAACCGATGTAAATTTGTTACCAAACAGAGGTTAACCCTTGTGTGAAATGAAGGAACTGTCAATAATTGATGGCCAGCTATGATAGTAAACTGTTATACTAGTTTTGAGCTTTAGGCCTCCAACCTTTTTTCTTAGATAGATTCATAGCTTTCATCAGATGTTAATGGTAAAGGGAAAGAATGAAGTAGTTCCCTTCCTGCTAGGTTTATGTAATTTCCTTGCTCACTTTCACATCTAGTTTTGCTAAATCACAACTATATTGTTTATGCATATTGCATGTATAACACCAAGAAAATCTTAGAAGTTCTTATATATCATTATATAAAGGACCTCTTATTTTAAGCGTCTTCACATGTGCCACTAGTGTTAGTGTCAGGGATTCTGTGCCTAAAACAATGTTCTCAAGTTCCTGGGTGTTTGTACACCGTAGTATTTTTTTTTATTATTACTAGCGAACAGCACTTTTATTCTTCCCAAATCAAAAGAGCCAAAAAAGTCTTCATTTCAAAGAAAAACCACCATCCACTATAGTTTTTTGTTGTTGTTGTTGTTTCTAAAGAATGAATTATGGGAAACCTTGCAGTGCTTGTGTTATGCTAATCAGTTTGGGGGTTTAAATAAAGAATTAAATTTTCTATTTTGTGGAGATAAATATTAGAAGGAACTATCATATTTTTAAAGTTTGATTCATTCAACATTTTATATATTCAGAAAATTATAGTTGGAAAGGGACCTAAGAGATCATTTAATCCAACTTCCCCATCTTACAGATGAGGACACTGAGGTGGAGATGAATTGACTTGCCCAAGATCATATAGCTAAGGGTAGAATCAGGATGAGAATCCTGGTCTCCTGACTGTTGGTCCAGTCCTCATGTTATCATACCATACTGCCTCTTCTGTATCACTCACTTTAAGGATCACTCATATGGTATTACTGATTACATTTGCCAACAAAAAGCATTCACGGATGGAACCCTGTTATAAAAGAAGTTGTGAGGAAATTGACTTAGAGATGAGTCAAATTATGTCATTCTCCCTCTCCCCCATGACTACATTTAGAAAATGCCTAATATAAAACAGTTCATAAGTAGGTGTTAGTCAAGTCTCTAACACTAGGGTAATAAAAAGGTTGTACTTTATTTAGAAACATGATGTATTTAATTTAAATTTTAAGTGAACTTTTCAATGTGGAAGCAAATTATGCCAACATGCTACCTTTTTTTGATAGCTGTCAATCATAGTCATTTAGTATTTCTTGAACCAAAGATTTTGTTTAATCCCCAAATGTTATGATGAATGTCAAACAAAATGGGTAGTTGCAGAATTAGAAAACACGCAACCTTATTTACACCTGAACATTTGCTTCATGGATTCCTCTGAAAAGATCTATAGTTGGGTCATCTCAGATTGTGAGCATAACTTTAAAGTAGTTTTTGCTCTGGCAACCTTGACAGAACAAAGGATCATAACCCAGGTCTTCTAAATCATAAAGCTGCCTGTAACTTTGAAAAAACAGAAAGTTGGCATAAAGTTAGGAGATGAGATAAATTTATTTCTGTTACGTTGCTTGGAAATGTTTTTTATTTTTTAATATATTTTGTTTTCACTTTCTTCTGTGGCATAAATGTCAGCCAAACTTTTTAAAACAGTTGTTTAAAGTGCTTTGAGAATTTTATTCTCTGGCCATTTTTCTCTTATATCAAATATATTTTCTTCTATGAAATGAAAGAAGCTGTAATGGAAAAATATCAAGACCTACAATGCACTAAGTTTTTTGTTTTTGTTTTTGTTTTGGGAACAAAGTAAGCCTAATTAGTAAATACACTGACAGTGAGGGGATGAGGCTGCAAATGGAAAGAAGAATCAATGCAGGCTCCTATTTCTCATTAAAGAGACATTTTTTTTAGAATGTTCTAAGCAGGTACAAATCTTATAGGTTTTTTTTTTTAATTTTTAAAAGTTGTGAGTTGCCCATGTTCTGGTCTTTTCATTTAAATGTATCTGCTGCAATATTAAGAAAACATAATACTGGAAGTTGTCTGCCATGTTTGTTTGGCCTATGTATGTTTTTTGACATGACTCTTTTTTTCAGTTTTGAAACAATATTTGGAAACATTCAGGTACACGTAGTTGGAAATTGTATGTACCTTTTTGTAAAAAGTCTAGATAATCAATTTTATAGTTAAACCAGTGAACATGGATGTGATTCAATATTAGTGGATCAAACCTTGCCCAGTTGCTTAATTATAGTTAAAAGACATCCTAATTTACTCCAGAGAAATTAAAATAGTATATAAATGTACTCACGTACATCAATATGTTCTTGAAACAGTCAATTTTGCTTAGGCTTAAATTATGTTTGTCTTATTAAAAGAATATAAAGGATATTGTTCAATAGCTTAAATATTCCAAATATCAATCCAGGATTTAAAAAAAAACTACCTTGAGGGTATGATTTTAAATTGTCCTTAGTGCCCACTACACTATAGCAGGAATTAACATAGTGCCTTTTACAAAAAGGAAATGTAATGACTAGTGTGCATACTTGTGAGCAAAGTTTTGTACACGTGGTCTGTCTGCTGCTGAGGTTCTTTTCTAATTCACAATTTAAGTATAAAATTCCATCTTTTTCTGGTTTCTACACGTGACAGAAATAGGAAAACAAACTCATGCCAAATATAGGATATAAAGAACTTGGAAAATCCAGTTTTCAAATTCTATTTCTTATATTTGGTGGGGTGGGGTGATTAATGATTGTACCTTATCCACTCAGTTTGCATGGAAAAGTGATTGCTTATTGAAAGACTGTCTCTATTACTCTCCTAGCCAAATCACTGATTTCCATTTTGAACCAAAATGGAAAAAAAAATCAATAGAACTTCCTCCCTTTTTGGGGAGGATATTCTGACAAGTGAATGCAAAATGTTTCTCATTTTATTTGACCTTTACGGTCTGCATTATATTTCATTTTTATCTTTCTCAACCAAGGAATAGAATACTAGTCTTGTAACAGTGGAATCATGAGTATGCTAGTGAAGAAAAATAAAAAGGATGCAATGGTATATCAAGAGAAAGTGTACTTAAGACTTTTATTTATAAAGGTGTGAAAGGCTTTTACAAAAATGCACTGAATGCTGGGAACTTACCGTGTACTATCATGTTCTGATTTTTATTTTGCTCTTCATGAAAATGTTTGTACTTTTTTATCATTGTCTTTTATGAAATATAATGTTCTAAAGATTCTGTGTGATTTAATTTTTTCTCATAGATGCTTTTTGTTGGGTTACCAGTATGATTTATTCTCATTTTTTAAGCTCCAGATGAACTTTTCTGTGCATGGTCTGATTGACATAAGATATTAACATAAACAAATGTGGGCTATATAGCTCTTTGCTCCTATAGTTTTAATTAGATAAATGGAAAGAGCTCATCTAGATCGTATATCTCTAAAGGGGCATATGATCACAAACCTCACAGTTGGAAGGAGCCTCAGAGGTCAACTAGTCAAACCTGTATGTGGAGAACAACCCCTTCTACAACACTCCTAAAAGTGGTCATCCAGCCTTTGTTTGAGGACCTCAGTCTTAAGAGGAACCATCTGCCTTCTAAAACAGGCCAGTCCACACTAGTATAGCTCTGATTCTTAGGGAGTTTTCCTTTACCTATGCCTGAATCTGTCTTCCTTCAACTTCCATGCCATTGTTCTTAGTTCTTTCTTTCTTTCTTTCTTTCTTTCTTTCTTTCTTTCTTTCTTTCTTTCTTTCTTTCTTTCTTTCTTTCTTTCTTTCTTTCTTTCTTTCTTTCTTTCTTTCTTTCTTTCTTTCTTTCTTCCTCCCTCCCTCCCTTCTTCCCTCCCTCCCTCTCTCTCTCTCTCTCTCTCTCTGTTTCTCTCTCTGTGTGTTTCTCTCTTTCTCTTTTTCTTTTTCTTTCTTTCTCTTTCTCTTTTTCTTTCTCTCCTTTCTCTCCTTCTCTCTGTCTCTCTGTCTTTCTATCTCTCTGTCTTTATCCTTCTTTCATCTATCTATGTGTAACCAGATTTATTATTTCATTGGTATAGGTAACTCCCATGGTGAAAATTTTGTCCACTACTGCAGACAAGTACCTGCTCTACAACTTAACAATCTTAAGAGAATTATCTATGGATCATTGAGAGATTGTGTTTTGCCCAGGTGTTCAGTCTTAATATGTCTTTACCTTCTTGTGAACTTCAGCAAATCAAGTCTTATATTTACTTCTTGGCTTTCACATAAAAAGCAGTATAAATATTTAAGAGATCATTTAAACACCAAGAGCCCCTCATTGTATTTTTTTCCATTGATAATATGTGACAAGGTTTGGGTCTGAACTATGTGATAGCTCTTGTAACATCTAGAGACATAAATGATTGATATGCTAAGTAATAATTATTACATTTCATAGCATTTAATGTTTATATAGTACCCTATGACATAGGTAGTGCCAATATCATTATCCCCCATTTTATAGTGAAGAAACTGATGTTTAGAGAGGTCAAATGACTTGTTCACACTCACAGAGCCATGTCTTACTCAAATATATTTCTTTTGGGCCCAAGACTCTCTAGTATACTATGTTATCTTCCCCCAAACCACTGTCATCCCCATTCTCAAATATTATCACTTTTACACATCCAGATTACCCTGTAGAATAATATATATGTATGTATAATATATATGTGAGTGTGTACACAAAGACACACATATATGTATATGTGTGTGTATACATATATAATTTTACTACTCATAATCCTAATCTGCTTTGATTTGATAGAGCTTTAAGGTTGCATTGGTAGAATGAATCTTTTATGATATTTGGGGTAGGCTGTTTTAACAACCCTACATTATTATTGGGCTTCTAGGAATTACTATGTGGATTCACAGATGCCAACAGGAAAGAAGGCTGCTTCTACTAGACAGAGAAGGAGATGATGGTGGATGGATGCCCATGGGGGCAAGAAAGACAGTCAAAAGTCAACCTGACTTTAACCATAGGGGAAGCTATGTTTTTCTACAGTGTGAATCTAGTTCCTACCTTAGGATTCAGAATGGGAAAAGAGCCTTGCAGTCATCTAGGCCAGTTGTGTCAAATTCAGAAACCTTGGCCACTAACCCTTGCATAAGGATCCCTGCTACTGCATATTGACTTAGAAAATCACATATTAACATTTGTCTATGTTCTTCTTTACTTTTATTTTTATTTGTTTTGTTAAATATTTCCCAATTACATTTTAATCTGGTTCAGGGGGCACTAGGGATTGTTGCTGGTACCAAGCAGCCCAGGTCTTTTGACACCTCTGATCTAGTCTAAGTGCTGCATTTTTCCCCCCCAGAAGCCTAAAGAATTTAACTTAGCCAAGATCACCCAGCTAATATGTATAACAAATCTAGGTCCTCTGACTCCAGTCCATTGTACCATCTACCACACTACATTGCAACAGAATTCCCAAGATTAATTCCTTATCTTGAGAATCCCATGAGATTCTCAAGTTTCCAGCTTCCCAGTGACTACCAAACCTGACAACCCCTTCTCTGATGACTCATGTGAATACAAGTACTACCACCTGAAGGAGGAATCTTCTAAAAATATTGCTTGGGATTATGAACTCCTAGACAAGGAACAAGAGCTCTTAGTTGGAAGGTGGTATTTTCATCATTGCTTCTGACTGAAAGGAAGGGGCTTCAGAGGTGAAGGTTGTATTGGAAATGTAAACAGCCAAGTGAAAAAATGGCATCTGAGAACAAAATATGGATTTCTGGCTTAAAATATAGGAATGATGGATTCTTGGGCATAGGTGAAGTATGCATAATGACAGCTAAATAAGAAAAAAATTGCTTTGAGACCCTTGAATATCGTTAACTAGGCTTTAAACTGAGGACAGAGGGGAGAAAACTATCCATGTACATCTGCCAAACCTGAAAATCAATGAGCATTTATTAAGCACCTACTCTATGGTAGGCATTGTGCTAGATACTGGGGATATAAAGACATACCCAGACATATATATATATACATATATGTGTATATATATTTATGTGTGTATGTGTATATATAATACATGTTTAACAATTCTTGGTCTTAAGGAACTTATATCAGGAGAAACAACATTTACATATATAGGTATATACAGAAAGAAAAAATTTGTAAGTAGCCCATACATACAAAAATAAATGCAAGGTAGTTAAGTACAAACTAGTGAAGTACAGAGAGTACTTATAACTGGGGGAAGACCCTGTAGAAGGTGGTGTTTAAACTTAGGCTTAAAGGAAATGAGAGCTTCATTGAAGTGACAGGAAGGAGGGAGTGCATCGCAGGCATAGGGGATGACCCATGCAAAGACACGGAGACAGAAAATGAAATGCAAGAAGGCCAGTTTGGCTAGAGTAGAGACAGGGAAGTGGAGCAATGCATAATGAAGCCTGAAAGCTAGGTTTGGGCTAGGTTCTGAAGGGCTTTACAGGTAAAACAGAGAAGTTTATATTTTATCCTAGAGGCAACAGGGAGACACTAGAGTTCATTAGGTAAAGAAGTGTCCAACTGCCTCTTGGATGTCTTGAACTGAATATCCCATAGATATCAGACGCAACACGTCCAAAACCGAACTCATTATTTCTCCCCCCAAACTTTCTCCTCTTCTAAAAAGTTCTCTGTTACTGTCAACAGCACTATCATCCCTCCAGGTAATCTTGATGTCAACTCCTCCCTCTTTCATTCCTTCCATATTTAATTTGTTGCTAAGTGCTGTCCACTCTCCCTTTGCGATATCTGGAAAACAACCCCCTGTCTCCCTCCTCTGATTCTCCCACCGCCCTGCTGTAGGCCTTTGTCACTTCACTCTTCAACCAGTTTAGTTTTTCTGCTTCTGATTATTCTTCCTGTCTCAAGTGTCTCCCATTGCAGTCCACTGTTTACTCAGTTACCAGAGTATCTTATTGAAGCACGGGTCTGACCATAAATCCCCCTGTCACTTCCAGGATCAAATATAAAATTTTGTTTGACTTTTTATAGCTTATCATAACCTAGCTTCTTCCCACCTTTTCAGTCTTCTCATATTTCCCTTCCTTTCTCATACTCTGTGATCTAATGACACAGGCCTCTTTGCTCTTACTTATACAAGACATTACATTTCCCACCTCTTAATTTTCACTTACCATTGCACATGCCTGGAATGCTTGCCCTCCTCATTTTTGCCTCCTGGCTTCCATTGTTTCCTTCAAGTCTCAGCTAAAATACCACCATCTTTAAAAAGCGTTTTGAGGTCCCCCTCTGCTTGTGTCTTGTCTCCTAGGTTACTCTTATGTACCTTGTATATATCTTGTTCATACATAGTTATTTGTATCTTGACATCACGCACAACTATGCCCCCCCCATTAGAACATGAGCTCTGTGGGGTCAAAGAATGTTTTTGCTTTTCTTCATATCCCTATTGTTTAGTACAGTGCCTGTTACCTAATAAGACCTTAATAAATGTTTATTGACTGACTGAGTGAGTGACTTAGCTTGCAGCAAACTGAAGGAGAGATCGGAGTGGGGAGAAATTTGAGCCGAGGAAACCAATTAGGAGTCCAGAGGTGATGAGGGCTGGAACTAAGGTGGTGACAGAGTAAGCAAAGAGGAGGGGATGGATATGATAGGTGTTGTAGAGGCCAAGAGTTGGCCATTGATTATTTACTTGAGAGGGAGGGGAAGTGAGGAATGAATGATAATGCTGAGGTCATGAACCTAGGGCACTAGAAGAAGAGTGGTTCCCTCAACAGAAACAGGGAAGAATGGTAGAAGGGTAAGTTTAGGGTAGGTGGGAAGATAATGATTTCAGTTTGAGATATTTGAGTCTGAAATGTCTCTGGGACATCCAGTTTGAAATGTCCAGTAGGAAGTGCTATAGGACTGGAACTCAGAAGAAAGACTGGTGTAGGACATATAAATCTGTAAGTCATATGCATAGAGATACTAATGAAAAGCATGGGAATTGATGAAATCACCAAGAGAGAGAAGAGGTAGGGCCCTAGGACCATAGAGGTGGAGATACCATGTAGACTATTCATCCTCTAAGAAGACAGATAGCAATAATGCCTATGGCCTTGGGGCCTATGTATAAACTATGCTAATAAGTCTGCTAGAGATCTTAAATCAAAAACTCAAATGGATATATGATCTCACTAGTGTGGATATTCTCCTCCAGTACAGCAGATTACAACCCATTCATTCTTGCTGTACATTTCCAACCATAAATTC